AAGCCTGCGAGCATCATAGGGAAGGCTGGGTATCATACAAGTGGCCCCACATCAGGCCACTGGGGCTCTGTGGCCAGTTCTGCTCATCCATGTCCTGGTGAGGAGCCCCATGGACTAGAAGGGAACTGTGAGCACATTCCATCAGGAACAAGGCAAGGGGCTCAGGAACCCCATCCTCCACAGAGGGCATAGGACAGTGTATATGGGGTGTGTGTGTGTGTGTGTGTAAGCAGGAAAAGGGAGGTTCAGAGACTTGCCACCAGGTCCCAAACACTGTCCGCGCAGTGTGAAAAGCCTAAGTTTGAATCTTCCCGTTTACCAGTGACCTACTTCCAGAAGCAAGTCTAGCCCAGCAGCAGACAAAACCTAGGGAGGGCTGCACTCCATCCCTCTTCACTTCCAAGGAAGCAGCCCACCCCACAGTTGGCCAGACAGACATACAGACAGATATAGCTCAGTGCTCAGGAAGACCCAGAACCCAGAGCCCAGGGCCCAGCACTTTGGGGCAAGGGCTGCAAACTCCTTGCCCCTCCCCAGCAGGACACTCCCTAAGCTGAAGCTTCCTGCTCTGACAACAGGACCTTCAAAATTGACCCTACTCTCTCCTCAGAAGACAATAACCTGTGTCCCCTAGACAGGTCACTGCTGTCCTGACTCTGACTCTAGCTTCCCTGCCCTCCCCCCACATCCAGATGCATACTAGGGGCTCCTAGGCTCGAAGATGGGGGCCCAGCAAAAAACCTACACTTCGAGACTAAGGAAGCAAAAAGCCACTAGAGTCAGAGATGGGAGAGGAATCCCAAGACAACAGGCAGCCTGCACTTCGGGGGGCAGACCCCACAGAACCCTATCTCCTCTCTGCCCGGTCTCTCTTCTCTCTGGCAATGCTGTTGCCAAGCTTTTTGACGCCAAAAGTAGCTTGTAAATGTACTGGTTGGAGATAATACATGATAAGACATGAAGCCAGGGGCTGAACCATGGACAACCTTCAGAGTTTTACAAGGAACAAATCACGCCTGGAGACAGGCGCTGGAGGCAGTGGGTGAAAGGTTGAAATGGAGGGAACTTATCTGCAGGTAATTCTCAGTCAGCCCCCACCCCAGCAGCCCCCCTCCTATCTGCCACAGGAGGACCACCAACTGTCTTCCCTGTGCTACTTGCCCCTAAGTTTATTAAGCAGAGTCCTAGTGCCCAGGGCCAAGATAGGGTGATTGGTAGTCCTGGGGTCCTTGATTCCCCAAACCAGAGACACTCATGCAGATGGGATGCAGAGGAGTGGACAGAAGGCAGTACAATTTGACATACCTTCATTCATCTGATGCTACTGTGTGCAGCCTCCCGAGGGCTTGGCATTTGGAAAAGGAAATGAGATGAATGTGTTAGCCTGGCTAGTGTGGCTCTGTGGATTGAGTGTTGTCCCATGGACTGAGAGGTCCTGGTTTGGTCCTGGTTCGATTCCTAGACAAGGCACATGACTGGGTTGTGGGCTTGATCCCTAGTAGGGGTATGCAGTAGGCAGCCGATTGACATTTCTCTCTCACATCAACGTTTTTATCTCTCCCTTCCTCTCTCTCTAAAAAAAATCAATAAAAACATTTTTAAAACAAAAGAGAGATGGCCCTGGCAGGTTGCTCAGTGGTTAGAGCATCAGCCTACGGACCAATGAGTTGCTAGTTCGATTTCAGTCAAAGGCACATACCTCAGTTGCAGTTGGCCCCCGGCCCTGGTTGGGGTCATGCGGGAGGCAACAAATCAATGTGTCTCTCTCACATCAATGTTTCTCTCTCTGTCTCCCCCACACACACACACTCTATCTGAAGATATTTGGGGAAAAAAATCCTCAGGTGAGGATTTAAAAAAGAGAGAGAGAGCCCTGGCCAATTTGGCTCAGTGGTTGGAGCATCCGCCTGCGGTCCAGAGAGACCCGGGTTCGATTCCCGCTAAGGGCACGTACCTCGGTTGCAGTTTGTCCCCGGCCCTGGTTGGTCGTGCGGGTGGCGGCCACTCGATGTGTCTCTTTCACATCGATGTTTCCCTCTCTCTTCCTCTCTCCCTCCCACTCTATCTGTACAAAAAATGGAGAAATGTCCTCGGGTGAGGATAAAATAAATAAATAAAAAGAGAGAGATGAATGTGTCCTAGTCACTGGCATTGAGGAGCTGTTGCTCTGGGGTAGGGTGAAACCTGCAAGGGGATAGCAACAACCCAGTCTGTGCACACATGTCGGAGACCTGCAGTGTGGGGGAAGGAGACAGCCACTGGGGCAGAGCCACCAGGAAAGGATTCTAGGAGGATTCTGGACATGGGAAGGGGATGAGGAAGAAAAAACAGCAAACTCTAGGAAGCAGAAACACGGGTATGTTTCTAGAATGGAATCTGTCTGGTCGAGAGGCCCAGCTGCTGAGGTTTGGGTGCAGGGGGTGTGGGTCATAAGAATAACATAATTATGATAAACAACGCTGCTGTCATTTATGGAGTAGGAAATCAAGCTGGAGAGGTGGGGTCTGCGGACTCAAGCAAGCAGAGCCTGCGGACACCGCTGACGGAAGTTATCTGGTCTGATGATTGTTTTGCAAAGTTCACACTAGTTGTTGGAGGCTAACTAGGAGCTGTCAGTATTGTGGGGGAGACAAGTGAGAAAAGATGCGTGGGAGGTAGAACTCCAGAACCTGGTGCTCCCCAGTGGGCCAGGGTGGTAGCAGGTGCAATTTGAGGGCATGGGAGGGCTGCAGGGAGAGGAGGCCAGGGTATCAGTGCAGGTGATTCCCACACAGCTGCCCTGGAGAATGGGCTGGGTCGGGAGCGTCCTGCCTCCACCTGCGTCCCTCCACCCTGTTTCCACCGTCTGTTCCTTCCCCCCACCACCCAGTTCTGTCCCTCTCCAGTGGACTCAGGAAGAGGCACCCTGGGCCTCGACTGCCCTCCCTGGACCCGTCACTTTCTTGAAGCCCATCAGATGGGGCCCCGACACCACCAGCCTCCGCACCCTCGGACACCAGAAGGCTTCACGTGTTGTCCCGGGCACTGGCACATTGGGCAGTGTGGCTCAGGGGCTGGAGTCCCGGCGCTGGGACCCGCCTGTGTCATCGGACCTGTCGGCCGCTGCGCCCCCGGAGGCGCCTCGGGGAACTGCAGCGGGGCAGGGCGAAGCATGGCGGGGCGGGGCGAGCGCGCCCCCTGCCGGTCAGTTCTACTCACAATCTCTGCTCCCACTCCACGGAGGTAACCTTGAGAACCAGAGGATCTGGAAGGAAGTCATCGTGCTGCGTCCCTACCGGGGCCTCGTATGGAAGTGGGGGCACGGTGGATCTTGTCTGGCTTGGCGACTCCCCTGGGCACACTCTCCCACTTGCCTGCCCTACCCTCAGGCATAGTCAGGGACTTCACACCGGACCTGCCCTGGGCCACACCTCCACCAGGGTCTGGGCCCGCCCTGACACTTGTCACTAGCTGAAGGTGAGCAAAAGTCCCAAGCATTGTCAACTCGCTCATCCATTCTTCAAGCGTTTATTGAGTGCTTCTCTGAGCTGATGAACGGGGACCAGATTTCTTCTTTCTTCCACCCCTCCCTTCCCCGGGACGCACCGGCCTGCTGAGCCCCGCCTGTCAGCTGTTACTGGCTAATAATAGTAGAACACCTGGAGCCATCTGCCCCTGAACCCAGCCCTTGGCTCACAAGGCTGTGCCTGAGGGCCACTCTGGGAAGGAAAGTACATTGGAGTGGAAGGGGCTGGGCTCTCAAAGAACCTTTTGTTTCTTTTTTTTAACATTTTCTTTATTAATTTAGAGAGAGAGGAAGGGAGAGGGATAGAGAGATAGAAACATTGATGAAAGAGAACATCGATTAGCCGCCTCCTGCATGCCCCCCACTGGGGATTTGGCCCACAACCTGGGCATGTGTCCTGACCAGGAATCGAACTCTTGGTGCATGGGTCAATGCTCAATCACTGAGCCACACTGGCCGGGCAGAGCCTTTTGTTTCTTAAGGAGGAACTGGGGCCCTGGCCGGTTTGGCTCAGCGGTTAGAGCGTGGGCCTGCCGTCCTGAGAGACCCGGGTTCGGTTCCCGCTAAGGGCGCGTGCCTCTGTTGCAGTTTGTCCCCAGCCCTGGTCGGTTGTGCAGGTGGCGGCCACTCGATGTGTTCCTTTCACATCGATGTTTCTCTCTCTCTCTCTGTTCCTCTCTCTCCCTCCCACTCTACCTGAACAAAAAATGAAAAAATGTCCTCGGGTGAGGATAAAAAAAAAAAAAAAAAAAAAAAGGAGGAACTGGGGCTGCAGGCCAGAGGTTATGGTGTAACCCACAGGAGGAGAGGAGTGAGGGATAATTTATTATTCCATATGAGATACCCATCCCCCACCAGGCCCCTGACAGACAGACCCTGACCATGGCTATCCACTGGGCTCCCACATGAGGGGACCTCAGAATCTGTGCATTTATGTCACTCCCATGGCTCTCCTGTCTTCAACAAGGAGATAGGCTGGGTTCCACCGACAGAGGAAGGTTAAGTGATCTATCCGAGGTTGCAGTGAGCTGAGGCCACCAGGGCCCAGCAAGTGAGTTGGCAGCCCCTGTACAGGTGGGTGACCTCACACCAGAGCTGGGGTTCTTGGCTGGGGATTGGGGGAGGGTAGAATCCCATCACTGAGGAATGAGCCTTACAGGCAAGCCACACAGGAGCCTCATCATCTACCTCCCTCCCCAGCCACTCCTACCTCAACACCTTTGTCCTCACACCTGTGAGCCCAGTTCCTCCTTCTTCCCCATGTGGGGTGCTCCCAGCTATGCATTCAGAACTGGGGATATAACCACAGGATGGGTTTGAGAACCCACTAGACCCACTGTGAAATGGATCTGAGCTAAAACTCCATTGATCACCCATCCTCCATCTCCTAGATGGTATGTTTATTTCTTAATTATTGATATGAGAGATTTGTTGTTCCATTTATTTATACCTTCTTGGTTGATTCTTGTATATGCCCTGACTGGGGATCAAACCTTGGCGTACTGAAACGATGCTCTAACCAACTGGGCTACCAGGCCAGGACTGGATGATATCAGTTTAGATCCAGTGTCCACAGTCCCAGAAATGTCTGATTATTTCCTTTTCCCCACACAGGCTCTCTGGTAAAAGACTGTAGGTCCCTTTAGGAAAGGCTAGAAGAAAGATTACTTGTAAAGATTAAAGATGAAAGACTAGTGGGCAGCATACCAGGGTTCTTCCTTAAGGGGTCCGGCCTCCCCTTCATTCAAGTTCTGGGTCTGTGAACTGACGCAAGTCTGGCAATTGATTAAGGGATCATAACTGTCTTTATGATTAAGTTAGCCTTTTGTTCACTTGACCTAGAACTCTTCTGCTTAGGAGCTAAGATAACTAAGAATTCAGTAAGCTTCCCATCTATTTCACTTCTAGAGACATCATGATCAAGCAGCCAATGCCATAGGCCAGTAAGTCACACTCTGCTGCTTTGACTTTGCTATAAGGCTAACCACACCCACCTTGACTTTGGCCATTAAGTACCTCCACTTGGACCTTGACATCTCAGGATCCAATGCCCCTATCTACTGCATTTAGTTTCCCAATTCCACGGCAGCAGTTCTCATTAAGTTCTGGCCTACACAGAAGAGTGATCACAGAGCTCTTTGGGATACTCACAATGGTGGTGAAACGTGTGTCATCCGGACATTCCCAGGACAGGTCTTAAATGTCAAATCCCTTGTAACATTCCAATCTCCCTAAGCCTTTGTATCCCTTTCTCTAGAGTGGACTAAGGCAGGTCCGGTATTTCAATTCCATTTAGTGTGGGCCTTTTGGTCCATGTCAACCAACTAAACAAACTGTTAGAACACTTTCTAACCTCAACATTAAATCCCGAGTCTCTTAGTGAGCCCCTGTCAATAAATTCAGCCTGATAGAACTTTGTGTTCTTTCCACCACTATCCCACCCCTTAATGTTTATTCCCACACTTTCCCCAGATTTCTGTCAATATAAATTGCAAAAATAACGTAGTTCTTTTGGAGTGTAGCACACCTCCTCATAGGTCACATTTTGCAACTCCCCCTACAAGGCCTGGGGCATGCCAAGTTTGCTGCCATCTCAGCACCTGTCACATGCTGTGCCTCTGCCTGGGAAGCTCTTCTCCTTGCTTCTCTCACCTGTCACTGCTGAATTGAGATGACCCCTCCTCAGCATCCTCTCCCTGACCACTGGAGGCACCCCCTCCACATATCCTAACATTATTATTCTTATTCTGTTGTAATTGCTTAGGGTCCTTCTCATCATCTGACATGAATTTACTGTCTCAAGTATACCATAAAACCCCGAGGGCCCTGTCTGTCTTGCACATGGCTGCATCCCCAGCACCGAGGCTAGAACCTGGCACAAAGCAGATGCTCAGTAAATATTTGTGGAACAAATGAAACAACTGTTCAAAGCCTGACCCTTGTATCCTGGCATGTGATGCTAATAAACAGAGCAGGCCTGGGTTTCATTTGTTTATTCATCTCCTCCTAATCATTCCAGAGAGGATTCAAGATGGGAAAGAGGGCTTCAGAATCACCCACCCTCCCAGATGGCAGGAGCTTCAGGGCAATAAAGCGTGGTCACAGTGCCCTGGGAAGGTGTGGACTATAGGCTGTGAGCTCCAGGGCCCCTAACCTTGTGCAAACAGGGTACTGGAGCAATAGATGCTTTCCTAAGACTGAGTGAGGCAAGCAGTAGTTACATTGTGAAACAGCATCCAGGATTTCTCCTCTCATAAATGAGAGCCCAAAGGTCTGTCCCCTCTGCCCAATCCCACCACAAGTCACAGATCTGTCAACACTCTGGCTGCCTAGAAGGGTTTAACCAGAGTGAATCATGCAGTGACTGAGGCTGGAGCAGACAGCTGGGGCTGCCTCCATTTGTACTGTCTCCTTGCATAGCTTGAGGGAGATGGGCACCAGCTTTAGTGAAGGCCAGAGTCAGTCTCAGAATTGGGTCCCTAAGGGGTGAGTCCAGACAGGCAGGAAGGAGGGAGTGGACTGAGAAGAAGTAAAGGTAGCCCACCTCCCTGAGGCCAAGACGAGTTGACAGCTGGGCCCTCCAGTCCCATCCTGGCAGCGGGATATGGGCCATAAGTGGCAAACCAGTACTTTTCCCAAGGAGAATCAGTGCAGAGCCAAGGCCTCGGGAGCCTTCCTGATGTTTCAGCCACCCTCCTTCCCTGTCTGAATGTCTGGGGTACCAATTCCAAGTGAGGGTGGCCAGAGTATGGCCACCATGCAGTACCCATCTGGGGTGGCTGAGGGATGCCCGCCTATTTCCCCTGGGAGGCAGAATTTTCTTTGCCTGAAAGAAAGGAAGGAGGGGAGAAAAAACAATCCTTATGATTCAGACACTATCCACTCCAGCCTGCAAGCCAGGGGAGCTAAGAGGACCCAGACACCCAGTTTAAGGGAGTCTGTGTGTCCCATCACAACCTAGAGCCTCTTCTTCCTGCATACGGGCAGAAAATAAAGAACTACAAAAGGACAAAAGCATCATCGTACCTTATCATGCACCAGCTCCTACGGACACCCTGGCCTAACCCCCATGACGGTAGCAAGCAGATGCTGTCAGCAGCCCCATTATACAGAGAATAAAACAGACTAGAGACTGGCCATAGTCTTGCGGGTGGCAAGTGAGGTGCTGGGATTTGAGCTACAAAGCTTTGGGAGAAATCCAAGGGTGGCTGGGTGTGCAAACAGAAGTGCGGTGATTTGTGAGCGTTTGTGTGAGCAGGAGAGCAAAGGTCAGAGAGGAGGCTGAGCTCAGATAAAATGCAGAAAAATGACGCCCTGGCTGGTTTGGCTCAGCGGTTAGAGCGTTGGCCCGCAGACCAATGGGTCACAGGTTCAATTCTGGTCAAGGGCATGTAGCTCGTTGTGGTTCGTCCCCAACCCTGGTGGGGTCATGCAGGAGGTAGCCAGTCGATGTGGCTCTATCATATCGATGTTTCTCTCTCTCTCTCTCTCTCTCTCCCTCCCTCCCACTCTATCTGATAAGTAGAAAAATATCCTCGGGTGAGAAATAAAAAAATAAAAATAAAAATGCAGGAAAATGAAATACAGCTCCCCAAAACAAACTACAAATAAGAATACTGCCAATAGGATGCATATCTGAGCTATTACTACATGCCAGGCCCCAGGTGCACAGCCTTGGCCTGCTTCCAACTCCAGTCAGGGAGAAGAGCCAGATCTCTGGAGAAAATCCTTTGCCACATCCACCCTCAGATGCCCCTTTTGGGGGACACATGTGATCAACCAGGCACAGGAGGTAGGATATCTGTTCCTCCATCCTTATCTTACAGCTATCTTTTGGGGTGACCCTGGGAAGTCCTGGGCATCGTGCCTTGGTGCGCTCATGCTTTGTCACTGTAAGTGGATGAGAACAATGTGCCCCTTGCCACAGGCCTATGCTCAGCTGCCTGATAACAAGCTCACCTTTAGGGACAAACTTCAGCGAGCTGCTGAATATTCAGAAGCGTGACTGCCCCTTCTTGGGGCCATCGTTCAGGAACTCATGGCCCAGCCCGTTACCACACTTGCCACAGGAGACCTGGGAAGAGCATAAAAGAGCCACATGAGCTTCTGGACACAAAACAACCACAGCAATGGCCCCTCCTGCCACCAGCAGATGATGTCCTCCCCATGCCCATTTCCCAAGGTAACTGCTGGCAGGAGAGGTTGACCTGGAGCCTGTGCAGGAAAATTGTCCTATTTCCCACCAGGACCCTAAGCTCCCCCATAGTTTGGGGTGACAACTTCCCTCGCTGAGGCTGGAGGCCTGGGATAGACAGACTACAAGCCCTTACAGCTGTGTGGAGAGCAGAAGAAAGGAAAGGGTGGCCTACACTCTCCCCCCCTTCCCAATCCCTGCTGCTACCACCCACCTTTAAGGCTTCAGGCCGATTATGCTCTGGATGCTTGGTCACACTGTCAGCATGGATAGTCTCAGTGAAGGCTGGCCATGGGGATGAGTGTGCATACTTTGAGCGGCTGGAGAAGAGCTCGTAGCCACACTTGGCGCACACATAGATACCTGGAGGTGGAAGAAGAGGCAGAAGCAGAGATGCTGCCTCCAGCCTCTTTGGAGTGAGCTCCCAAATCCTCAGACCCAGTAGAATACAGCACTCTCCCCAGTCGCAGAACGAGATGCACACCTTCCCCACCTGGATATCGGCTTTGTGGAGGAGACATACAGCTGAGCTCACATTTAGTGGTTCTTACCATGTATCAGAGACCAGGAGAGTCACTTTTCACACTTAACTCATTGACTCTTCTAAACAGCCATGTGATGAAGACCTATCCATTGCACAGATGAGGAAGCTGAAGCTCAGTGATGCAAACCACTCAGCTAGAGGGTGTGCAACGAGGAAGAAGCCCAGGGAGTCTGATGAGGACACAACATTCTCACCCTTCACAGGCCCCACACAGTGGGGGCTCTGACATGGCCAGCACCACTCCCTAGCCCCCGTCCTTTCCCAAGTGGCTGTCATGTTGCTCAGCCAAGCCTTGACCTAGACTCCCAGTCATAGCTACTGGCCTGCTCTCCCTGTCTGAAGAGAATGGTTCCAGAGAAAATGCCTCGGGGCCAAACAGGCAGCCAGGAAGAATGGGTTTTATCCTCAAAAGATCACTTTCATGGGGGAGAGGGGGGAGGGGAGAGAAGGTTGTGAAACTGACTTGCAGAATAAGAAGCAGGTACCCCTTGCCCTGGCCGGTTTGGCTCAGCGGTTGGAGCATTGACCTGCAGACCAAAGAGTCCTGGGTTCGGTTCCCACTAGGGGCACGTACCAAAAAGAAGAAGAAAAAAAAAAGCAGGTACCCCTTACCCACTGCCTGGCCTGGGGACAGCCTCCCTTGGAGTCCGTGAACTACTCAGCCTTTACCAGGAAGGAAGGAAGCAAAGAGGAACCAGGAGCTGCTGCAGGAGTAGTTACCAGCTTGGCAGAGCAGCCTAAGGGTCCCACAGCCAGAGGGTCTCAAGAGGAGCTTTGCCCAGAAGGTCCTATATCACACCTGATATCCACAGATGCTCAGTGTCAGAAACTAGCCCCCTGGAGAGCTGATACCAAACAGATCCCACCCCAAGTAAGTAGCTGCCCTAGTCTTGCCTCTGGTATGTTTTTACCAAATTAGTCCATTACCAAGCAGCTCAGCCCAGAAAGGGACTCACCAGGTCTTCTCAAAGCCTGGGGCCAGGGCTGAGGGCTGGTCATGCCCCAAATCACCCTCAACCCCACTCCTCCCATCTTCCCACCCCTCACCCCCACCACCCCCCACCCCACCTCCAGGCTGTCCGGTCAAACTTCACTACACTGGCCACTGGTGGCCTAGCTGCACTCCTGATTACCCAACCCCAGGGTCCAGGGCAAGTGGGAGAGGCACCTAAGGCAGCACATTCGGATCGGAACAGGACGTTCTGTGCTTGCCGGCTTACTTCGCGGGTCCCAGGAACCCGGGAGGGGAAAGGGCAGGGGTAACATCAGAGAGAGGGAGTAGCCTCGAGGAGGGGCAGCCCTGTCACAAGAGCTGCCCTTGGACAAGACCCTCTTCCAACCGCGTCCCTCTGATGTCCAGATCCTGATCCGTGTACTCAGACCCACAGATTCCCCCCGGAAACGACCATGTTCACACTTAAAGGCTTTTCCCCCTCAAGGGGAGTAAACTCCTTTGGTGCCCTCCTTCCCTCCGGTACCCTGACTCTCCGAGCCCCCCAGACTCCTCCCTCCTCCTTCGTGATCCCCTTTAACAATATGCGCTCCTCCCCGCGCGGTCATACTCGCCCCTTCATTCCCGGGGCTCCAGGGCTCCACCACCACCTGAGAGCAGCGATGCCCCATCTGATGTGCGCCCCCGCCCCAATGCTCTACCAGGAGGTCACAGGTTGTACCCGGATCAAAGTGGTTCTGGAAAACTTCGCCCCCGAAGAAGCTGCAGAACGACATGGCGCCGAACAGACCGCTGCACGATGGTTGCTTTCGGCTGACTGAAGCCTCGGATCGACCACCTCCCGGCCTGGGCCAAGCCCCACGCCCCGAGGCCTCGCCCCCTCCAGGAGGCCAATCACGTCCAGGGACGCCGGGACACCCCCGCGGGGCCCGCCTCCAGAGAACCCGCCCCTTCCCGCGTACCAATCGGCTTCCTCCTCCAATAGGCCCCGCTCTTCCGGAGGACCTGCCTTTTCAAGTCCTCCCAACAGGCCCCGCCCATCGACAACTCCTAAGGACCGCTCTGCGCTTCGGCCCCGAGGCGCAGCGCCAGGGGGCGCCGCTGAGCTGCGCTCTCCCTGCCCCGGCACTAAGTCCGGTGCCACGGGCCGTCCCCGGTCTTTCCGTGCCCTCAATTCAGACACCGCGGGAAGAGTTGCTTCCAGCCTTTATTAGACAAAGGAAACAGGCGGGGGTCTCGCGCGCTTCTTTCATACTCCATCCGAGCCACCTACAAGTCTCCCGAGGACTCCGGCTTTTCTTTCTCCAGATGCTTCTTCTGGGGACCCTGTGGGAGTAGTAGGCAGTAGTATTCACAGGGGTCTGGCTGAGAATACTGCCCCTGGCAAGCCGCCTGAGTCACCCACAGCCGTCACCGTAGTTCCTCCCCTCTCTTACAGCAAGAATCACTGCCTAGGGCTGGAATCCTAAAAGCCCCCTCCTTATGGATGAGTGCAGGGGGATCCCACCACCCCAATCTGCTCCAGCTTCCCCACTCTGAAGCAGGTGGGATGTGAGGGCTAAGTCCCAGAGAAGGGAGGTGGGGGGACTCACCATAAAGACCCTCTTCTCTTGGGCTGTCTGGAAGCGGCCATGTCCAAACTTGGAGGTGGTGTCGATGAACTTAAGTTCAATATTCTCCAGGGCCCGGCGGCTGTGGTGCACCAGGAGGGACTGGGGATCCGTGGGAGAGGAGAGTCTCAAGATGGAGGTTCCCACCCACTCCGGTAACCCCAATCCACCCACCCCTTCCTTTTGGCTCTCCCCATCCCCTGACCCTCTTCAGAGCAGGCTGAAGGACAAAGCAGGCCAGCCAGCCACCCACCCCTCCCAAAGCCCATTGGGCTCCTGCTCCCCAGCTTCCCAACCCACTGCCTGCCCTGACCTTCCTCAGCGTGATGACCCGCTTCTTGGTTCCTGCGATGCAACCTTTCAGCATGACAAAGTCATTGTTGACTTCCCCATAGTGAGGGAAGCCACCCTGTGGGAAAGTAGGTCAGGGTCCAGATTGAGTTAGGAGGCAGCTGGGAATCCTGGGAGAAATCCCATACACACCTGTGATTTGAAGGAGCCAGTGCTGGCCAGGGGGTGACACCCTCTATCACTGATCAAAGCAGCATCTGAGCCACACCCTACGTCTTCCCTTACGGTATCTCATTTAACAATCTGCATTTTACACAGGGGTAAACTGAGGCTCGAGGGGTGGAGTCACCTGTTCCAGAACATACTGCAGCTGGAGTTCGAACCCAGGCAGCCTGTCTCCAAGACCACAGTCAAAGCTGCTGCATTCTACACCCCATGACAGCAGCTGGAATATAAGCTATCTATAGAGGAGGCTCAGAGAGTGCGGAAAGGAAGGGGTTTATTACACCAGCGGCTGCTTGGTGGGGCCTGAGCTCTTGGGGCATTACAACACCCCACACACCTCCCCACACATGCTCACCAGGCTCCCTCAGCCAAACTGGCTGCCCACCCTCACCAGTGGCGTGATGGACTTGTCAGTCATGTCGTAGCTGGTGGACGCATTATTCTTAACCACCTTCCCATCCTCTGTGTGCAACCCCCGGCCAATACGGTAGATCTGCCAAGAGAACAGAGCACATTGAGAGCAGCAAATGGCCTCTGGGGCCAGCACTATGTCCACATCCATCAGCTGTGGACTTAAACCCAGGTGCTGGTGGATGCATTTCAAAGCCTTTGGGGGCCAGGCAGTGTTTGGGTCATGCACTCCACTAACTGGAGTCTGGTCAAGACGTTCCCCCCTCACAAGGACTTAGGACACACCTTCTTGTTGAGCTCTGTGCGGTGGTGGTAGCCCTTCTGCCCAGCCCGGGCAATGGAGCAGCCCACTCGGGCAGGGTGCCAGGCGCCAATGCAGGCCACCTTTCGAAGCCCCTTGTGGGTCTTTCGAGGCAGCTTCTTGGTGTGCCAGCGGCTTGTGACCCCTGCAGGTGGGAGGGGTTGGTGGCTGAGAGGCCAGTCTGGCCCCCATCCCCTCAGGCAGCCTTCCAGGAGCTGTTATTTCCACCCAGCCTTACCTTTGATGCCCCGGCCCTTGGTGACAGCAATGACATCAATGACCTCGCTCTGACTGAACACGCTGTGCACCGGCACCTGCTTCTCCAGCCGGGCCTGGGCCCAGGCCACCTTCTCAGCCACTGTGCCACCATTCAGCTGGATCTCCATGATGTGGGCCTTCTTCTGCCGGAAGGGCAGCAGCTTCATCTGCAGAACGCAACATGGCCAGTCGTCTCCCCGAGGGTCAAAACCCCATTTGCAGACATGGTATGACCAGCCGGTGACCCCTAGCAGGCTTGCATGCCTGCATTCATTCAGCATATGTTCCCATGCCTGGTCTGGCTATGTGCCATGTCCTGTGCTAGGCACTGGGGTACAGCAGAGAATGAGGCAAACAGAGTCCTGGTCCTCATGGAGCCATTATCTAGTTGGACAGAGCCAAGTAAACTCTTGGAGAAGGCAAAGTGTTCTGATGGACTATTGGGGGTGTAGGGAACAGTAATTACAGATAGCGTGGTCAGGGAGGACTTCTCTGAGGAAGTGACACCAGTAACAAGAAGGAGCCACTAGCCTGGTCAGTGTGTGTCTCAGTGGATTGAGCACCATCCCATGCACCAAGAGGTCACTGGTTTGATACCCAGTCAGGACACATGCCCAGGTTTCAGGCTTGATCCCATGGCGGGGGCAGGGTATACAGGAGGCAACTGTTTTTCTCTCTCCCTCTCTCTTCCTCTCTCTAAAAAAATCAATACAAATATTTTTTTTAAAAGAAGGAGCCACTAGGTAAAGATATAGGAGCTTTAGCAAAGGGAACCACATGTGCAATGACCCTGAGACATGGAAGATCCTGGGGAGTTGAGGGTGCAGAAAGGAAACCAGTGTGTCTAGACTATGGGGAGCAAGGAGGAGGCCATGCAGGATGGAGTCAGACATGAGCAGGGGCCTAGCCTGGCAGGTCTTGTAGGGAAGAACTCAAGCTTTACCTCAACTATGGGGTCTGATAAAATCTGATTCATATTTTTAAACATCTTTGGCTGCTCTGTGAGGCACAGGCTGGAAGCAGGAACACCATTAGGTCACAGCATAGTGCTCAACAATGAGTATTTATGGAGCACCTACTGCATACAAGGTTCTTGGTGGGTTCTGGGGGCACAGCACTGAACAGGGAGCCATGACCCCTGTCCTTATGGAGCTCAAGGGAGATGGACATTAACCAATGACATAGGGAACCAGGAACTGCAAGTGTGAGAGTAACTGGGCAGGGGCGGGGCAGGGTGGGGGGTGGGAGTAGTGTCCCTGCTCAGAGCCTACAAAAGGTTTCCCTGGGGACTAGGCACCAAGGAATGTTCTAGGATAAGCCAGATCCCTTATACAAATGTGGATTCATATACACACTTGTGCCAGAACCCACACAGAGGCAGCTGGCCTTCTACACTGGACATTTGTCAGGAGACTCAAGCCTTTTGGGGCATTTCAGGGCCTTGGTTGACCACTGGGCATGGACAGTGCCCACAACCCTTAGAGCATACTGGCCCCCAGCATCCCATCCCTGGAGCTGCAGACAGACAACACTTTGGTCCTGTGCCCAGGGCTCATAGTATTTTTAGGCTGACATTTGCCAGGGCTCCTGGAGGCTGGTTGGGGGAGGGTGAACCCAGGGAGTGAACTGGCTGACTGGGTGTGGACTGGGGTTAAGGGACTGACCTGGGTGTGGACAATGACCCGAATGACCTTGCAGTACTTCTTCATGGCAGCAAAGTCTTTCTGGAGCTGCTTTTTGCCATCGGCGTCACGCCACCTCTTACAGGCCTTGGTGAAGGCTTTCTTCTTGCTCTTGTGCCTGAGCCATGCACAGAGGGTGCTTAGAGGGGCCAGTTAGGGTGGTTCCCTGGGCCCCTGACCACCTGTCACCCACCAAGCACGGGTCTTTGAACAGTAAATGTCCCTTTCCGTCCTCCTTTCCTCCCTGCGGAAGCCGTTGCCATGCCTTCCCTGGAGTCCCTGGGCTGGCTCCAGTCATCATCTTTAAGCACAGCCTGTCCTTTCCTCTCTGGGCCTCAGTTCCCTCCTCTGCAAACTGGGTATCTCCCTGCCTTCTAGGGCCCGAGGGTGAGTGGCAGATGTGCAGGAGCTCGGGGAAGGAGTACGTTGGCTACTTGTCCACACTGATACAGCTGCTGGCCTCACTTCTGCAGCGAACAGCCAGTACTGCCTGTTGTTCCCAACCCTCACTGGAACTCTGGGTGGCAGACACTATTATCCCCATTCTACAGACGAAGAAGCCAAAGTTCACAAAGGTCAAAGCCCCTGGGTGGGGAGCAAGTTGATAACAATGTAAATAGAGAAAACAAGACCAGCTGGCATTTGCTGAGCACTTCCTCTGTGCTGAGCCCTAGACCCCGCTTGCTCATCTCATTCACAGCAGCCCCAAGATGCAGGGACCACGCCCGTCTCCACTGATGGTGTCTGTGGCACGCCTGAAGGTGAGGGGTGATACAGGACTCTAAGAGGTCAGCCAGCTTGTCCTGGTCACACAGCCCACTCTGACCCTAGAGCCCAAAGAGGGCCAAGGCTGGGCTGTGTCTCTGCCTAAGGAGGGGTGTGTCTGTGAGGTTCCTCAGGCAGGGGGCCCTTCCCTTTCAGGACTTGTACCAAGGAAGATTTGAAGCCTGAGAATACCTTCCTTTCTGATGTGAAGAGCTTGTTGGCTGTTTCCCTTTTCATCCTAGGAATCTCAGCGCCAACTCTGCCGTTTCATCAAAGTAGTTCCTTAATTAACGCTGAGGATTAGAATACCCGCTTCCTCTT